AATCACGCAATTATGCGCTTAGCACGGACACGAATCGCCAGAAAATGGGCATAGAATGGACACACAACAATGGGTTAACCCACTCTGAGTTATTCAGCCTACGTTTATTGGTCGAACAAGTACTTATAAGCTTTATGATTGGCTAGTAGAGACTTATGACGTCATTAATCGCTTTCGGAGCGATTAACCCAAGGCCAGTCGAACACGCTATTCCTTCCTTCCTTCCTTCAATATTTGGCTAGAGTCGCATCCATGACTCATGCCCCAACGCCATTACTGACGAACACACTAGAGGTTTGTTCTTTCGACCTGAACTGGCTGCACTAGTTCACGAAGTTTGCACTAATGCGTTCTTTCGATCAGAACAGTGCAAGAAAATGTGTTCTTTCGAACAGTGCAGGCTGAACTAGTGCAGCGAGTTCAGTGAACTGACTGCCCTAGGTCTGGAGGTAGAGCAAGCAGTGCAGGGCAGCTAACCGAAAAAATTTAAATTTGTATCTATAACCTGTAAAATCGATATACCTAGTTGACATTACGTAGAAGAAATAATCCGACGACGGAATCTATAAACAGTAAATAAATACTTAAATATATAATAAATATATAATGTAGATAAATATATAATAAATATATAATGTAGAATGACATAAAAGAAGTATTTAGAATGTTATCCAAACAGCACAAAATATCCGAAAGACATCCTGGGAAGGCTCTTGGACGTTTTTTCGGAGGGATTTGTTGTATGGGTATCCAACACAAAACAGTTTTTAAAAGAAATAGGATTGTTCAACAAAACATAAAATGCTATAAGTGCGAAAACATGACTATAAATTGATCTATGTTATTTAATCCAGCCATGTTGTCCGCCATCTTACACTGCTCTAACTTGCTCTTACCCGTTCTTTTCAGACCTATATGTATCTTTGCACTGGTCTGCACTATCTTGAACTTTCTTCAACTAGTACAGTTCCAGTGCAGCCCTAGGTCAGGTCGAAAGAACAAACCTACTTATTGCACCAGTTCAGCAGTGCAGCTGAAAAGAACAGACCATAGAGTTAACCATGTGTTACGTTATATGTATGAATATAAATTCGTATAATTCGAATAGAGAGTCGGGGTAAATTGTATAAACAAATGTACATAGTTTGCTATATGTTTATGATTTATAACAGCTGTGTTGTTATATGGTTATGATTTATAACAGATCACGTACGATAAATTCGATAGAATGAGTCGCATTAAAATAAGAATGTTTAGAAGAGCGACGCAGAAGGAGGATTTATTTCAAAAAACATTAATAACAAATCTAGGCTTGAATTCCGACGAGGCTAAACAAATTGTCAGTATGAATAAAACGACGTCCTATGCTGTACATCGATTTGTGAACAACTGTCTGGTATGCAGAGTACGTATAAGTAATTTATTCACAATAAATACCGTACCGACATCGCCCGCTCATATAATAATGAATCTAACTCATTTTCTTCGCAATTTTACTGATATAATTTAGGAAACAAGAAGAAATTTACAAAAATCACGCTTGTTTCTGCTCTAGAAACACAAGGTTGAAGTTAGACCACTTGAACACTTCCAATATTGTCTAGGATTGCTTCCTTACACACTGGAACATAGAATCAATGTACTAAAAGACATAGGAGTACAGGAAGTGAGTGTAACTCAAATAAACAAGTAAGTAAATATTGGAGCATTAAACACATTCTCTTTGAGAAGATATGAGAAACTCTCAATAACTGTCTAAATTACAGATTATTGAGTTATCTAAACAAGTCTGTACTTAAATTTAAAAAGCTGACTAATATCCCTCTCGACCAAGATATAAGGAAGAATATATCTAGCAGACTCTGTGGGTCTCCAACTAATATGTACGAGTTGGACTTGTCAAACAATCGAATGAAGACCAGAGATTACTACAACAAATGCTTATTATCCTGCAAAACTCAGATATTTAACTTGCCTAATTTGGACGACACAGTACTGTTGAAGAATGATATCAAACACAAAAGCATAAGTATGATCGCAGAGACATTGAAAGTGCTCAGACTTGATTTGGACTATGATGATAAGTATGTGAGTACAGCTGGTACTAGAAAGCTGGTAAAGAAGTCAAATATTCTATATATTCACAGTTTTTAAGATAAAATGATATTAGAGAAAAATGAAGATATTAATAAATATATAAATAACTATTAGATATTAATAAGTATTTTATTAAGAAATTATAGCAATTATTTTTAAAATAATAATATTAGAATTAAATAATATATTACATAATATATAGTAACATTAAAAATGATATTAAATAATTATATTACTGTATAATATAATTTTTTAATAATATATTGTTATTTATTAACTATTATGCCAATACCTAAAAGTTAGATCAATACACAAGGTATCTTTTATTGAATTTTCCAAATTACAAGCAGAAAAAGACTCCCCAATAAACTACCATGTATTGATAGTTATAATATGATTATATATAATGTAATTATCTTTATTTTTCATAGATAACAAGCAATCCCAAAATTATCCTTGCTCCTGCTGAGAACGTGAGGTTGTTGCTGAATATCTTTAAAGATACAGGGCTTGTTGGATTATCAATCGAGAAGGTTTTAAGGGAACACCCCTACTTGTTGTTTGAGGATGCGAATAACATGAAGCAATTAACAGAGTCGTTTAAACGCTACAACATACCGGACAAGTACGCGCATAGGTCCATGAAAATCTTCACTTTGAGCAACGAGGTCTTTGTCAAACGAATACGAATGATAATGAAGCATCCGGACTTACACCTGTGGTATAAATATCCGCGAATTTTGCAAATAGTTTTCCACAAAAACATGGTCATGGATCGTGTGAAATATCTTCATTATATGAATCGCATCAAATGGGCCCACACTCAGACGGTTCTGATGCAAGAAAACCAATTAGATCGGTAGGTAACAGAGGAACTTTGTTTTCTTCATGAAAACTTCACGAAAAAAACCTTTCTCTTCATCATTCATAATTTGTATAATATATCTTCAACATGTCAATCTCGCCAAGCTAAGTTCACACACAAGTTCTATCAGGTTTACATTTTCGGTGTGTTACATTAATGATAGTTTGTTTTCTCCTTTACTTTTAAATGCTTAGTAAGATTATTTCTGATCCTTCATAAAGTGTGACGGGGCTTTTGAGATCGCCCAGATATGCGTGACGCGATGCTCAATGTGTTAATATATTTTTTGAGGAGTTTATTAGCCAGAAATATATTCACCAGATATATATTCAGAGCGCCTATAAGGCGTATTTTCAATGGAGTATCAAAGGAGCTACACATAAATTCGCTATTTACCGAACAAACTTACGTTTTTATATATTTATTTTATTATCAAAATAATAAATGTTAATATAAAATTAATTTTATATTTTATTTTGCTACGTTTTACTCATTACAATGCTACTTAAAGCATAAAACAGCAGTTTTCCAGTCTACAATCGGCCATTACACGAAAACGCTATAACGAATACTATTCTTTCTTCGCGTTTCTTAATATGTAATATTTATAACGATAAGTTTTTTATTTGTATAGTATCATTTTTATAAAGTTGCACTAAAATAATAATCATCTCTATGTTACTTCTACCATAAAGTTATATGTGCAAAATTGCGTTTAGTATTAAATTTGTCATGAACAGCATGAAACTTTAGTTACACGAATATATTTTACATAAATATTATATTAAATTTTTGTGCAACTTTAAGCATTTTGGTTTAAGTGAATAAACTCTTCAAGTAAAAAAAAGTTTAAGAGTTAGAGCCACATAAGTGATATTCTTGTTTTCTTTATTTCTCAAATCAATTCATATAGTATATTCTTTAGTGTTTGCTTTAGTATGTACTTTAATGCAGTATGTTTTTACCGTATATTTTTAGTACATTTTTCTACCAGTCTAATTCACTTTTTGTATTCAAGATTTGTCCATTACGGCACTAGTACACTTATGTCGTCGAAACCTCTACAGTACCTGCTCAATACTAAACTGAAAATTCAATTAACAAACGTTGGCCTGATTAAAAAATTGATGAAACATCCGCACTGGAAGACGGCCAATTTCAACGACATCAAGAAGATGTTGGACTACCTGATAGAGAACTTCACGATCGATGAGATATACCAAAATATACACATCATACTCTATTCACGGTAACGATTTTACAGAAATTGGATAAAGAATAAAATTATTCTGTAGAATATAAATAATTATATATGATAAATAATTGATCAGAGATATAAGATATGTAGAATATAAATAATTATATATGATAAATAATTGATCTGCTGTTGTTTCTAGATCTGCAGTTGAGGAAATGTTGACCGAGCTGAGACAGAAATATTCTCAGAGTACAGAATATTCCTTCACTAACAGTCAATATCTAGCGCTCTGCTTGTACATGCTGGAGAAAGACACTCATTTTACGGGCGACGGCATCTGGAGCAAAGGACATAACGTGGGGAAACAGACCCTTTCGGGTAAACAAAGTGTTATGAACAAGACTGACAATGACGCGGATGTTGACGTTTCAAGTGCCAGAAATAGCGACAAAATCAATCCTAATTTGACAAAAATGAAACGTTCGCAATGACGATATAGTGAGATACATAATGTACATAGATCTTGTGAATAAGTAGACAAAGCGCCAATAACGCCGAAATTGCGTTTTGTAAAGAAAAAAAAATACAAAGCAAAAAGTTTGTATATTTTAATTTACAGAAACATTCTATCGACGCTCGTAAGAACAATACAACAAATATCCCAGTGTAACGACATATCCTAACCGATCCTGTCGATCGTCCTGGTTAGTATCATGGGGAATTGGTTATAGCTGATCGATCTATTTGCTCGTGAAAGTAAAGAACGCTTGCCACACAAGAGTTGGTTTCATCACTCATTCATTTATTACAAATTATTCCCATATAGAAATCGAATATATCGCGATACAAGGCAAGAAAGAGAGAGATTATTCTGATTAAAATTCACATTTCTTATATAAAGGCACTGCGTGAGGCGTTAATTATTCTTCAAAGGCACGTAAACATTGTCGAATCGAATTATTACGAATCTGCAATGACGCATTTTCCTTTTTTCGGACTTGCGACGTTCCGTCAATAGCTGAGTTAACTTAAGGACATCATCGCTCTTCGCTACTGTGACGTTGAAGATACGAGCGAACCGAGCCCCGGCTTCGTTGTGTTGAGCCGAACACGCGAAGAGCGACAACTTTGGCTTCATTTTCCTCGTGACTCGCATCGCGTGACTCGGCGCGCTCGTGTCTTCTGAGCGCTTCGGCTCGAGGAAGCTTTTTCCAGAAGCAAATGGAACGGTCCGTAATCACGAAAAATTGCTGCGGACATGGTCACGTAATCCTAGTTTCAATCGCACGTTTCGGGATAAGAAGTAACAGCAGTAAAGATACAACTTCTTCGACTCCCTTCCTTTAAATAAAACGATATTTTATATTCTTCTGTCTCTGTGATGTGTCCTTATACATAAAATACCACGCTAGCTTTGGCCAAAGATAAAACTTCTCGCGCGACTCTTCGCGATCGTTTGCGAGGACGATCATAGATTCTCGCGGACGTTCAAGCTCGAATTGATTTATTTCCCATTACTCATTACATGTGCTTTTCCAGCGGTATCGCGTCGACGCACCGTCGGCTGAGTCGACTCGCCGATGTCTTCGATTTGAACAGCTACAGCTAGACATCAACGTGATCTCCGGCGGCTCGCTGAAGAAGTTACCTGCGCGTCGTCATAAGAAGCAACTGCGACTGACTTCCGAGGAGAGCCAGTTGCGCATCTTCGTTATAATAGGACGAAAATAAGATATCAATTTTGGAGCCCGCGTACCATGGACTCTAATACTCGTCGCGCTCGTGAGACACCGACGAAGGCGGATCGCGCCTGGGTGCGGTGTGATCGCTTAGAAGTGATCTAGAGCGTAAGAGGCCGCGAGTCAGTTCAGAAAAGGAGGCAGCTGCACGTAGCTCTGCTGACTGTTCGGCTCGCTCTTCACCATCACCTGGTGCTCCTTCATCGCTTGGCGCGCCTGCGGCGAGTGCATGCCGTAGTCCGGCTTTTGATCCGCCGGCTGCTGAGGCTGCTGTTGTTGGCCGTAGTCGGCCTGTTCGTGTGCGTATTTGTCGGCGAGGCATCCGCCGCCGTGCTCGTCCTCGGACATGCCCGAGTTGCCGAGATGGTGTCCCGGCGGCGAGTGCGTCGTCACCATCGTCTGGTAGTCGGCGCGGGTGAGCGGCCCTGGACCCGGCGGCGGTGGCGGGCTGCCACCGCCGCCGCCGGCCGGGCTCATGTAGTCCTGGTGAACGCGCATCGCGTTCGCCCCGGCCGCTGCTGGGGCGGAGAACAGCGCGGCCGCCGCCGCGTCGTGCTGCGGCAGCATACTGGCGTAGGAGTAAGCGCCACCGTTGCCGCCGCCTCCGGGCCCGCCGCCGAACGTGGACGTCGAGTACGGCGAGTTGGATGGGCTCAGCAGGTTCAGGTGCGGCGCCAAGTCGTATGCGGGAGAGTACGGCCACGCATCTGGCGGCGCTGCCGCTGTAGTCGGCGACGCGAACGGGTTCAGGGTGTTGTTTAGAGATGTGAAGGAACCTGCGGGCGAGACACGCTTAGAATTCTCTTGGAAGAATTCTTATAAGAGATATAG